GGCCGTCGGAGCGCCGTCGCTCGGCACAAAGCGCATCACCGCCTCCATGGACCGGGCCAAGTGCCGGACCATGTCCTTTTGGCCCATGGCCTGCAGGGTGACATACAGGGGGAAGCTCTGCAGCAGCATCGAATACTCGTCGGCCAGGTCCAGGAAGTCTTCCTCGTCTTCGGCCGTGGCCGGGGCCCCGGCACTCTCGGTCGAGTGGGATCGCACGAACATCTGCCAGCGAGCGGCCAACAAGGGCGGGTCAGCCAAAACCGGCCATCATGCCGGCCACCGCAGGAGCCAGCGGCAAGTGACAAATGCCCCGAAAGGCAAACGAGGCCAGTGGCGCGGGTGAGGGAGAGAGAGAGAGAGAGAGAGAGAGACGCACGGCCACCAGCGACGGGCAGATGCTGTCCAGCAGGTCGTGAATGTGGAAGGACAAGGCATCGGCCGAGGCGTCATAGGGCGAGGGGATGGCACTGGCCTTGGGCTCGGCACCTGCAGGGGCGACCCCCCCGGCCGGCGGCAGGGGAAGGGCCACGGAGGAGCCATGCGAGTGAACCCACAGCGGCACCCCGGTGTCCGGCGCCACGCGGCGCACAGTCTCCCGGATCGCCGACAGGGAGTCCCCCGCCCCGGAGGCCACGCAGGCAAAGACCACCGGCCGCGGCCCGGCCGTCGATGCCTGGCGGATCTTTTCCTCCATGTCAGCCGAAACCATGCGGCCGGTGGCGGGATCCGTGCGGACTGCAGCCCGCCGACGGGTTAGAGAGAGAGGACGACAGGATGACAGCGGGGTGGGGAGTACGCCAATACAGGGGGGGGGGGAGGAGGGGGCCGGCAAACCAGGCGTGCAGGGAGCCGGGAGGGAGCACACGCACCACTGAGAAGCCACTCGGCCGGCAGGCGCAGCGCGTAGGCCACCGCCGGGAGCACGGCCACCGGAACGGCGCACTCGGCAAAGAGGAAGATCGGCTGCGCCGCATACACTGCGGGGTAGTCCACGCGCAGGGAATTGGCGCTGGGGAAGCGCCGGCGCAGGGCGCACGACGTCGACCGCGCGAGCGCCTGCACCAGAGACAAGCTGAGATCCGTGCGAGGATGTGTCATTGACAGGCCGAGGGCGGTGGCCAGCCACCGGGAGGTGGTCTTGGCCAGGAAGTTCCCCAGCCCGATGGAGATGTGTGCCTGGGCATCGGCGGCGGGAGGACCACCCGCCACGGCGTCGCTCGCCGCAGCATCACCCTCCACCCCGGGCGGCAGCCGGAGGGAGGAGGCCAGGATGCTGGCCAGCAGAGTGCAGAAGGAAATCAGCCCGGCCGATTTGGAGTAGCTGCCTCCGGAAAAGTGCGCCACGCCGGCCGCAAACTCGTAGATGGATGCCAGGTTGATCCCCTGCGGGGCCCATTGCGTGAAGTTGCGCGCGTCAATCATGCCCGGCTGGATGAGGCTGGCTCGCCGAGGGGGGGGGGGGAGGGGAGGTCAAGGTGAGAGTCAGAAGGCGCCAGGGGGGATCAAAGGCAGAGGGGTCGGAGGCACGGTCACGCACGCATTCAATTCACCCAGGGACCCTAGAATGGCGTCGAGCGATTGCTTGGTGGCCTGCACACCGGTGCATTCGGCGGAAGCCAGGGAGACAGCGAGTCAGTGGCAGGTCCGGGACTTGGCCCGTGCCGGTGGCAGCGGTGCTTGTGTGTACTGTCGGTAGCCCGCGAAAATGGCCCGGCCACGGAGCGCACCTTGGTCGCGGCCACGGTTCCGACCACCAGACGAGCATACGGGTTGTCCGCGCCAGGGCCGGGACCGGGCCCGGGCCCGGGGCCCTGCTGGGGGCGTCCATGAGGCGGGGCACCGGCATTCGCGGGCGCTGGAGCGCCGACTTGCACCTGCGACGCGGCCGTGGCGCCCGGCGCATCCAGCGGGGGGGTGGTCGCTCCGGCGGCGTGCGAGCCGGAGTGTGGCGGCAAGTGCGTCGCCATCAGGTGAGGCTCTTTTCCGGCTGGGGCCCGGCGGAGGAACGGCCAGGAGAGGGGGGAGGGAACGGAAGGATGTGGAGGGGGAGCGGCAAGAGGGGGAGGGAGGGTGCAGCCGGGGGGGGGGGGAGGCGAGGACAAAGGCAGGACGACACAAGAGGAGGGGGGAGCGGGGGGCGGTGCTGTCCGGTGCCGAGCGCCCTCCCCCGGCTGGAGGCCTGGACGCTCTTCGGCCATGTCAGCCATCTTCCCACGCATTGGCCCGGAAGAAGCCGCCAGTGGCCCGGCGTGAATGCCACCGTCGCCGCCGCCGCCGCCGCCGCCGCAGCTGCTGCCGCCGCCGGACCCGCCATTCCCGAAGGGCGCATCGCCACTACCGCGCAAGACATGGACCGAGAGATCCGCATGTGTGAGGGCAAGTATTTATTTTCAACATATGCGCGTACATTCGACGCCCACTCGCTCCCGGGGCCCGGCCCGCCCCCCTCACCGGCCCACCGGGCGGGCCCCGGAAGAACACAAAACAAAAAAGAATCAACCCATGTCAGATTGGACGGCGCTAGATCGAGTGTGGTCACGTGGACGCATGTATATTTAGAGTTGGTCCCCGGCCGGGCCGTGCGGGGGGGAGGCCGGCCCGGCGTCACCGGGGGCCATCTCCGCGTCGGCGTCATCGGCGCCGGCGCCCGCCGAGGCTGGCCGGCGTGGGCTAGCAGCCGGCGAGGATGGCCGGCGCTGGGCCCCGGCAGGAGCGGCCTCCATACTGTTGTCGTCGTCGGCGGCGGCGGCAGCAGCGGCGGCGGCGGCGGCCTGTGCGTCGGCCTCCGCAAGGGCGATCGACTCCAGGACCCGGCGCTCGGCCTCGGCCACCTCCAGACGGAAGGATTCCGACAGCAGGTCCAGCGAGAAGGGGGGAGTGTGGGACGAAGGGCCAAAGCAAGGGCAGGCAAGGCGGCGCAGGGGGGAGGGGGGGAGGGGGGGAGGGGGCACAAATGGAGTCAAAGAACACCAGACACATGATGGGAGGCAGCAAAAGGGACGTGCGCGGGGGGCGCGAACGAGCGAGCGAGCGAGCGAGAGGCCGAGGGAAGGAGGTGACCGGCAAAGGGTGGCCCACCCGGCGCACGCACGGCCTCCCGCCCATGAACCGGCCGTCGAATGTAGAACGGACACCGGTGCACGTGGGGGCGGCCGCGCGCGGCCGAGGGCCCGAGCAACCGATGTCCCGGGATGGAGCAGGCCGCTGCAACAGCAAGGATATTGTGCAAGGGGACACTGGGGCCCGAGGGGGCAGAAGCCGAACAGGAAGTTCGGGCACGGGGCCTTGCGCGTGTGGCGCAGGCTGCAGTTGGGGCCTGGCGTTGGGCCGCAGAGGGGCGAAGGGAGGAAGGGACAAAGAAGGGGCAGGACGCGTGTCGCGCCACATTCACACACACACACACACACACACACACACACACACACACCAGTACACGTCAGAACCAGGCCACACAGGGGGGAAGGCGGGGCAGAGGACCCTGCTGCAGGGCGGAAGACCCGGACGCACCGCGAGCGCAGAACCCTTGCGCATAGTGCGGGCACTCGGCCAGCGCGGCGGCCGTGGCGCTGATCACCCGGCCGTCGCGGTCACGGATTTGCCCATCCGACAGGGCCGACGGGTCGGTCGGCGGGTGGACGGCCACATGGCGGAAGGCGCACTCATCGCCGCTCTTACATGTGCCGGCCTTCCGCCAGAACTGGCATTCCGGCATCCGGGACAGGTCGTACTCATGCACATAGTCGCACACCACGGCCCCGAGCTTGCACAGCCCGCGGATGTAGTGCTTGCATACGAGGACGTGCGCGGCATCATGCCGCCGGGGGCACCCGTCGTGTCGGTCACACCGGCCGTCGGTGAACTCCCGGCAGGACTCCGGGGGGACTGCACAGGGGCGTGGGTGGCCGTGTGGATGCGAGCATGTGCGTAAATGCGCGCGCATGTGGGCGTTCCAGATTAGCCACGAGCACTGGCAGAGGAGGGCGAGGCGAGACAGGGCGAGGCGAGACAGGGCGAGGCGAGACGGGAGGGGGAGGGAGAGAGAGGGGCGCCCGAGGCAGCGAGGCGTACCGCCATCTTCGCGGGGCTCGGCCCAGATGCGATTTGAGAGTTGAAACCGTTCAAAGGCAAATCGCAACCCGGGCGGTGGCTCCGAGCGGTAGGTTGAAGAAAACATAGCTTGCCGGAGGAGGGAGACAGTCGCTCCAGGGCGCGGCGGGAGCGGAGGCGAGACGGGAAAGGCGGAAAGGGCGAGGAGGAAATGGAGTGCCAGGAGGGGGAGAGAGAGAGAGAGAGAGGGAGATCGGGGGGTGTGGCGGGGGCACGGGGTGAGGGAAGACTCCCCAGGAGTCGCGATCCGCACACCGCGCGTCGCCTTGAGCTTCCCTCTCTCTCTCTCTCTCTTTCTCTCTCTTTCTCTCTCGCGCGCGTGCGCGGGGCCGTGGAGGGCCAGGGGGCGCCCCGTTGGCACCGGCGGCGACCGGTCAGCTGCCGTGGTCGATCACGCCCGCGCGCGCCCGGATGCGACCGCTGGCAGCCGGGCCATTTCACACGGGCGGCGGCCGAGCTGCCACCGCAACGGGCATTCCCCCGCCGGACAGGGCGCGCCCCGGGCGAGAACGCCCGAGCCCGAGGGAAAGCCGATCGCCGTGGGAACCTGCCTGAGAGAGAGGCCAGGGCAGGACGGAATAGGAAAGCAACGGCCGGGCCCCTGCGCGGAGGGGTCGGCCAGGCGCGGCCGGCCCGCGCGATCTGCCGTTTCACACCCCGGGGCAACATTCCCACCGGGCGAAAGGGGCTGGCGCTGGGCTGAGGGGCGAGGGGGGGAGGGAACACACACACACACCAGCGGCTCGCCACGGCCCGCCGGCTGCCCGCGCCCGGGCGTCCATTCATCTGGGCCCGGACAGGGGGGCGCACCAGGCCGGCCGGCGGGTGCCCCACGCATCCTGGACCCCTCC